GGTGGTGATGCGTACCCTGAATGGAGTACAAGCGCTAATAAAAGATGAGCCCAGGGGGCAGTGATCAGTGGCACCAAGTCTGGTTGGAGGCCAGTGGTGTGCCCTGGGGGTCAAAGCTCGGACTGGTCCCGTGGAACATCGATGAACTGGGTGACGGGGCAGGGCACACCCTCAGCAAGTTTGGTAATGGTACCAAACTGGGAGGAGGGGCTGATACACCAGGGGGTCATGCTGCCATCCAGAGTGACCTGGACAGGCTGAAGGGAGTGCAGCAGAGGGCCACAAAGATGATGAAGGGACTGGAGCATCTCTTTTATGAAGAAAGGCTGAGAGAGCCTGGTGAAGAGAAGGGTCAGGAAGGATCTCATCAACGTGTAGAAATACTTGAAAGGAGGGTGCAAAGAGGAAATAGCCAGGCTCTTTTCGGTTGTGTCCAGTGACAGGACCAGAGGCAACGGGCACACACTGGAACACAGGAGGTTCCCTCAACACCTGGAAACACTTTTTTCCCTGTCAGAGTGACTGATTACTGGCACAGGGCACCTAGGGAGGTGGTGGAGTCTCTATGCTTGGAGATACTCAAAAGCTATGTCCAGATGGTCCCAGGCAACCAGCCCTAGATGGCCCCACTTGCACAGGGGTGTTGGCCCAGATGACATCCAGAGATCCCTGCCAGCATCAACTGTTCAGTCACTGTGAATTCCACAGGGCACATTTTGTGCACTGTTACACTCACCAGTTAAACTTCATGCGGCAGCTGTGTACCAGGGCAAAGAACTGAAGGCATTTATTCAATATTTATAATATTTATCCATGTTCTTATTTTTTTTTTCCTGCACCAGCAAAGCATCCCACTGCCCACGACAAAATACTGAAGAGGAAGGTACTGAGACTTAGTGCAACACAGTAGTATTCCCACAGGAAAGAACTGCAAGTACAGTTCATGAAAACTAGGAAGAGTTAAGAGTTACGGAGAAGCTTCAGAAAGAATCGGGGTGGCATTTGGCACCCATGAATGAGTTACTGGGACTATTCAGTCTTTTGAATGATGAGCAGTTCTGTTATCTTTTGTCTTTGCTCTGGTAACGTCAGAAGTGAATACACCGTACAAGGTACTACAGACAGGAAGTAGCAGTACTACTGTGTGGCCTCAGCAGTGGCAGCTTTCGAAAATGTGACTGCAGCTGTCTGGTAGCAAGGCAGAGATTTGGCAGTGCCTCACAAACGTGACTCAACAAGCTCCTCAGCTGAAAAAAAAAATTATGTAAACGACGTGTGTCAAGTTACAAAGGAAGCTTTCAATGAAGTAGTTGTCCAGTGCTAAAGACATGGTTTTGGAGGGTGATCTCCTGATTACCATCAGGCTGTCTGATGTGGAGTTAAACGTACCTCTCTAAGAGGTAATGTACTATAAATAATTGCTTAGACATTTTTTGTTGCTTAAGAAGAAAATGTTCTCATCTTGTTAACACTAGCTCGGTAATGGATTTCCCAGGTTGTTCTTTCTTTGCGCAGTGTTTTTCTTTTAAATCTCCATTGTGTACACACACTCGTGTGTCTATTAAAAGATTTTCCATTGAGATTCCCACCACCTAAAACGTGTTAGACCCACCATTACATTGGGAGTTGTTGTCCTGCTGTCCAGGTTTTCAATGCTTCGTCTGCGCGTCAGCCAGAGCGGGAGAAGCTTGTTCTGTTACCTGGTGTCACCTGCCTTTGGCAAGACAGAGGTAGGCTGCAGGGTGGGGAAGGAGAGAGGTGGGCAGGTCTTGGCCTACAAGTGTTCCACCTGTGTGCCCCCTGCATGGCAGTCAGAGCCCACACCAGAGGGGTTGCGCTTCCTAACCATCAGGCTGCGGTCCCTGTCCCTGTGTCTGGGGAGAAGGTCCTAAAGCTAAAAAAGGCCTCAACAACCATTTACGCCATTTAATCCTCCATGACTGTACACACGATGCGAACCGTGGGCAGACCAGATTTCGTTACATTCCTTGTGTCTCCACGCGGGCATGCACTATGCAGGGCACACTTACGGTCTGACCGTCGCATGGAACATGGTCGTTACTGAACCACGTTACAAATCAAGCTTATCGCTGTGCAGTGCTGTCAAACAACACGCCTGGCCCTTTCCTTCTGGGACACATCGGTTCGAACCCACCAAAAGGGTACAAACATAAATCTCCCTCTGGAGGACAGTGCTCTAGCGGAGTTTAAATTGAAGAACAATCTGATTCTTTTAGGAGAAAATGCTACGAAATATTTATTTGGTACTGCCACAGCTTCATATACAATTACATAAAAAATAGGCTAAACCATAAGGAACAAATATTAAAAATTACTTCTTCCTACTGTTTTTTTTGCCCCGTAGATCTCTGCGATGTTTTTAGCTTCTCAGTTACTTTGTAAAGCAATTTCTGTTGTGAACGGGGCTACCATTGGACAGCACCTTAAGAAATGCTGCTCTGACATCACGTTAAGGAAGGCATTGAACACAGCTACAGTTTGCGAGTGGCACAGTACTGTCACTGCATATTAAGATTGCTCTCAGTCAGTCAGCTTAATTCAGGACACTGAGAAAGATTCTGTGTGTTTAATGTTGTTGTATTTGACAATTGCTTGTCATTTTATTCCTTTTAATTCATACAGCTTTTTAATACCAACGTATTAGATTAATATCTTCTCTTTTCAAACAATGTTTAAACTTACTGTAACAGAACAAATCCTGCATAGCCCCTGTATCAGCATTCGTGGCAATAACAAAATTTATTTTCTATAACTTTTTCAGATGGAAAAATAATTTAAAAATTCTTGAAGTTTGTGGAGTTCCAGATTGGATCATATGGCATGCATGACTGACCAGAACAGGGGAGCATGTCTTCTTTTCTGCAGATGCTATTATTACATACCAATCTCCTTTATTGGTGCTAGAATTCATGTCTTGACTAGCATGCCTAAAATGAAGCACTGAGTGCAGACATGTCAGTTTAATCCGTCCCATCACCACTGGAGAATGACTTCTCTGAGTATGTGCCATCCAGTCAGTGCATTTGTTCTAGTGCCAAAAGAAATTCATTTCAAACTTGAATTCTGCATATTTCTAGCCTGAGGAATTCAGAGACAGAAGTAGGTCACAAAGCACACTAGCTCAGGCACGTTGTAGCTGCACGTGCTTCCCAAATATCTGCTGTTGCCGACCTCAGAAATGGAATGATGAAGCAATCAAAACCTGACAGCCTTTAAACACTTCAAAGCAGTATGAAGAGAAGGTACAAATGCTGGTGAGGATGTAAGTCTGCAGCAAAATTTCAAGATTGCAAATAATGCCTTTGGTTAGTAGCAGGGATGCTGGTCTCTGAAAGCAATGTATAACTTGGTGAGGTTGTTCCATTTGCTGTAACTGCAACATTTGCTGTAACTGCAGTGGAAGGGGAAGAGGGCAGGGAATGAGCACTGCGCTACAAGCATCTCAAGCAGAGAATTCCCACACTGCATACACTGTCAGCAGCAAGTCAAGTGTCCTTAGTCAGACCCTATTTTTAGTGTCAGTGGTGTCTGGGGAAGAACAGTAGCAAAAAAAAAAAACCACCAAACCAACCAACAAACAAATGAAAGAACAACCCACCATGAAGAGCCCTGTACAATTGTGAAACAGAAATTCAAAGCGGTTGTGATATAGGCTGGTACATCTCACCTGGGATAAATGCAGATGCCCTAACTAGAAGTGGGAGTCCAAGAAAATGTAGATGGTTTGACGTGACACAGTTCCTCTGTGTTGTACTGGAAGTGCCATGTATAGATGCCAGCTTATTCAGACCTAGCTTACATGTTAGTTTTTCTCTAACGTGATGTTAGGCTGCATAGTCTAAACATGGTGGAAATGCCTCTGTAATAATTGAACTAGTGAAGTCATTCAGGAGTCATTTTCAGCGAGACTGACGGGACAGCTCCCTAGTGTACTGCAGATCAAACACAGAACACAACAAAAGGCGACGTAGAGTGAAATCTTGGTTGGTTCAAGAGACTTTGAAGGAAAGGGGGCAAGCTGAGAGGAATTTTCTCCACAATCTTTAAAAGCAAGGATTCCAAAAGTATGTTTTTAAATAAAATATAGGGTCTGGGGGGAATGAAAAAAAAAAAAAGAAATTGTTCAAAATAGAAACATACTTCGTGAAATATGACTCTTAAGGTGGAAGTAATAGACAGGTGTGAACTAGGTCTGTCCAACAGAAAACTTTCAACAGAATAGAGAAGAGAGAAAATAATGCTGTCCTTCATTTAGTTTCATAAATCTGGTATTTACTTACCATGAAACTTCAACATACAGAATTAAACACACCATTCTTGGTATAGGCCACTTTTAAAAGACTGTATAGAGTATTTTCCCAAAGGAAGTGGTTATTTTAAATCCATAAAGCACCCCCATTCTTTTAGTCTGAACAATCCAAAATCCTGTCTTTTATGTGTTTTCTCTCCTACAGAGATCACAGCTGCACAATTTACTTTATTCATCAGCAGAAGCATCACTTTTGTTCTTCTCAATGGCAGAGGCCTATAAACAATCTCAATAGCCTGTATATCCTGAAAAAGGCATAAACATCCCCAAGATGCTCATGCCTTTTTTAAGGCATGTGGGATGTTCTAAAGCCACATTAGGATTACTTGTTTCAATCTGTGTAAGTGCTGCACCACAAGAGCAGCTGACAATCACAAAATGGCCTTGAAACAACCATCCGGACTTGTATGGTGTTCAGAGCTAGAAGTCTCTCGGATTTTGTCATCTAGACCCAGACCTTGTCTTACATGAATTAATGTAGAAAGTACAGCTGATAATATATAGAATCATAGAATGGTTAGGGATGGAATGGACCTCAAAGATCATCTAGTTCCAACCCCCCTGCCTTGGGCTTGGAAGCCCTCCACTACACCAGGTTGCCCAAAGCCTCATCCAGCCTGGCCTTGAACACTTCCAGGGATGAGGAATCTACAACTTCTCTGGGCAACCTGTTCCACTGCCTCACCACCCTCTGAGTGAAAAATTTCTTCCTTAGATCTAATCTAAATCTGCCCTCTTTCAGTTTAAATCCATTGCCCCTTGTCCTATCACTACACGCCCTTGTCAAAAGTCCCTCTCCAGCTTTCTTGTAGGCTCCCTTTAAGTACTGGAAGGCTGCAATAAGATCACCCCAGAGCCTTCTCTTCTCCAGGCTGAACAGCCCCAACTCTCTCAGTCTGTCTTCATAGCAGAGGTGCTCCAGCCCTCGGATCATCTTTGTGGCCCTCCTCTGGACCCGCTCCAGCAGCTCCATGTCTTTCTTGCGTTGGGGTCTCCAGAGCTGAAAACAGTACTCTAGGTGAGGTCTCATGAGAGCAGAGTAGAGGGGCAGAATCACCTCCCTCGACCTGCTGGCCACGCTTCTTTTGATGCAGCCCAGGATACGGTTGGCTTTCTGGGCTGCCAGCGCACATTGCTGGCTCATGTGGAGTATATAGTATTTCACTGAGATACAGAGGAGAATTGTCGGGCACCGCATAGGCAGGACTCTATCCAAATCCCTACTTAGCTGGCAACAGGAGAACTGGCAAAGTAGAAACAGAAAAACAGGGATTTCTACCCGTCCCTCATTCCTTCATATTCGCAAAGAGTATGTCTCTTAAGTAGACACCTCAAGTTTCACACCCAGTCATTCTTTGGCCTTCTGGTTTAGCCTTGTAGATGAGGTGACAGCTGTGTACAGTCAGTCTGTAAGATCAAAAGCAACCATCAGTCACCTGTGTGTGACACAATAGTACAGTATTTGCACCGAATTCAAAGCTTTCACTTCAGCTAGGGGATTTCTGTTTGTAAGAATCCTAAACTACTTAAAACACTTAAAAGTGTCAAATAATCCATCATGGTTGTTCAGCTGCTCAGTTATAGCAAGAAAAAAAAAAAGATGCCAACTCCCTTTCATCACACAATAGAATAATAGTAATAAAAAATATTAAATATGGGAGTTTTCTTACCATTTATGCTATGGCTTAATTTTTACATCTACCTTCCTGGTCTTCCGTAGCTACTTCCACTCTAAACGTGTGCCATAACAGACCTCACCTATAATCCAGGTAAGATGCACAAGCAAATCTGAATCCTGTGTGATGGTGTTCCAAACTGCCTTTCCCTCTTCCTGCCCAAAACACTATGCTTTTTGTAGAGAGGATTGTTAGAATAAAGGACAGAATTAAGCATAATCTACCTTCATTTGTATTAAATGTAATCAGTACAAATCCTCTTGTTTTCACGATCCCTACTGACTTCAAAATGCAGGCGATAGTCATAATGCTTTTTCCTTATTCTGAATAAAAATTTTTAAATTACTAGCAAGGGAATTTCCTTTTCTGCACATAAACCAAGAACCTAAGTACATCTTTCTCTAGAAAACTTCAAAAATAAGGTACTGGCTAATCCATCAGTCCTGAAATTAGAACTTGTCTTCTCAACTACAGAGCACTACAAGTATTAGAAAACAAAGGATCTTAGTAACTCAGCAAGTGGGTTTTTTTGTTGGGTTTTTTTTGTGTGTTTTTGTTGTTGTTGTTGTTTAAATGCTTCTATGTCAAAGCCTAAAATGAATGTAAAAGTGCAAAATATGCAAGTGCATGTATAAAATGCATGCTTGTGTTTGTTTGGAATTAATCAGTCTAGGTCCCTTTCCCTTAGTAGTCTCTTATCAGGGGCTAAAGAATGCATTCATTAGGGAAAGTAAAGACTTTGGAATTAAGAGTCTGTGCTGCGCTTACGAGTCATAATGAAATGAGCCTTCTTGAGAACCTCTTGTAAGTAAGAGATTATGAAATTACCTTGTATTGTTTTGTGCAGTTCGTTCTAAAACAAAACATGCTAGAGCACAGACCGTGCTACTGGCGCACTGCACGCCTCTTAACTTCTTATTTCCACTCCTTGATCATCTGAAATGCGACTACCACCAAAACGAAACTGCATTTGTTCCGATACGCTGAGTCATTGCTGAAGTGTCTTACCAGCAACTTCCTTTTTAAATGAAATCATATTTCTGATACGGCAAACAGACACCTAACTTTCAGTAGCAGCCAAGAAAACAGTTCCACTCTGGCAAGGTGCAATCAGGAGGAAATTTTATATAACACTGCAAGTAATAAATAAATTATGCATAGCAAGACTAAATTCAGAATTAGTATACTGTGAAACAAAATACATTAGAATAGTTGAAGAAAGAATTAATTACAGAGTTAGGATATAAACAGTAATGCATCTCAGGCAGAAGCAAACAACAAAACTGAAGGAAAGATAATTGTGGTCCGAGTTTGTTCAAGAGAAACAACATTTACCGGTGGAAAAACGCACCTGATCTCAGAGGATGACGTTAAATCCCACCAAGACGTAGGGCACTAGAGAGAGTGTTTGTATGTATGGCTTGAGGTCCAGGCAGAAGTGCGTTTTACTGAGTGAACCAGCTCCCTCTACATCTTCCCGATATCCTAATTGCAATTCCACAGCCACTCAGGCAAAGGATGCTTTCACAAACAGCAGAATTAGAATAACTTCCTGCAATCTTCAAGTGGCAGAAATTCGCACATACGTAAGCCTGTAACTACGTGGAAATTTCCTGAGAAAGTTTATTGGCAAAGCTATGCTAGGGAGGCATTACCCAGTCTCACAGTAAGTAAACAGCACGTCTGGTAAACTGACAGTTGACAGGAGAAAACCTACGTATTAAATACATACTTTATATTAATCTCGGCGTTACAAATTCATTGACACCTACGTTAATTACTGTTGTGAACTCTTAAGCTCTTCAGCACCACACCAAATCCCCTTGCACTTCCAATATGTAACCAAACACAACACCTAACCAGTTAACTTACCATTCTGACTAAAAACTCAACCTTAGCTACGTTAACATTCTCTATAAACACATTTAGAGAGACAATCTGTTATTCTGCATATAGGAGACTATGAAGCAGGAATGGTATTTCTACATGTGATTTGAAATGAAAAAAAACCCGAAACAACAAAAA